TATATAACATATATATGCGAGCATATACATATATCTAGGTTATGCCAGCTACATTTTGGTTTCATGATTAATGTGTTCCAGTGCCTGCAACTGTTTTCTATTGAGGCATTGTGCATCTGTAGGCGTTCGTTGAGGATTCTTTGGATGCTTTGTCGGCATTCTCACCTTGCCTGGCACCTTTGGGAGTTAATACGTTTACGATGAGCGCTGACTTTTGTATTATTATTACTCTTGTTCCAGGGAATTGGACCCTTAACAATATTTGACCAGCTGAAAAGGAGAGAATTGGGTCACATGAGCCAAAGCGGTCGTAGTGCACATTAAAATAAACGCTCTGCCAACTTTTACCCATTCGATTTTGATGAGTTTTCAATAAGCCAAATCGCTGGTTCATTAGCCAATGCACTCCAATTAGAGAGAGTGAAGTGATCTTAAATTCAATTTAAAATGCATCAGCATGTTTACCGTAATAATATCAACACATTTATTGATGAACAGCTTTTGCCCGCAGTTTATCTTATAATATGGTCCATAATATCGCCCCCGAGCTCCATTTCCGAGCAGGCGAAGACGCGCAGACGCAGTCAGGACCAGTTTTCAGTTCAGTTTCAATTTCAGTTCAAGATGCACCAGGTGCAATACCTTAATGAGCTTTTCTTGTTGTTGTTGTCGAACTTAACGAGTGGCCTCTGTGCCGGCGGCTGCTGCTGCCTTTTTTTGCTTTTGTTTTACGCAAAAGTGTCTGTGGCTTAAATAAATTTTAACTTGGCGCTTTTTGTGAGCAACAGGCGGGATTTTTTTTTGTCGGCAGCGGCACAGCTGTTGATGCCCTGTTCGATATACACAAGAGGTATGATGTGCCAGGCACAATATATATTATTTTTTGTTAGGAATATGTACATCTGTATTGTTATTAATAAAGACCATATGTAAACATCACTTGAAATTAATATATATACTTCAGATAGAAACATAGGTTAGACTATTTTAAATACAACTGAGGGAAAATATTTAATTTAATTAATGAAAAAAACATCTTTTTATTTACTTCTATAAATTTAAAAGCAAAAAGCTGCAAAGAAAAGTTTTTAATATTTGAGATTGATTATATTATATTAAAATATAATTTAAAAGTATATATTATAATATAATAAATAATAATCACTTTATAAAATAATAAAATTATTTAATATAGCTTTTATATTACAGTACGTTTATTTTAAAAATGTTTTTAATATAAATTTAAAAAAAAAATTAAATAGTAAAATTATTGTAAAATTATTTTGAAATATAATTGAAGTATCTTATAAATTTTTTATATTATAATAAATTTATTTATCAAAGAAGTTTTAATATAGTTAAATTATTTAATAATGTTTCTTAATATAGTAAAATGATTTCATAAATTAAATAAAGAAATGCAATAAAATAAAAACAGTTTTAGATATTACAATGATTTAAATTATATGTGAAAATTACATTCATGTCATTGTAAATGGAACCAACCTACAGGGTATTCCCAAAGTCACTCACATTTCATGCCGCACGCATTTATGGTAAATGCTTGCTTAAATGTTTTTTTGTAGCTCATTCGCGTCGCTGTGTTTATGCAGTTAACTGATATTTTTGCATGGCAGATAAAAATCCTGTATGCTGTGTGCTATGTGCTGTACCTGTGCGCTGTGCGCATCTGTTATCCTGGCGGCAGGCAGGTGAGAGGCTAGCCAGCAAGTCCTGCCGCTGCTCGCACGCTGGGGAGGTAATCGATCTCATGCGGTTTATTTACATCCGTTATTGAAATTCGCTTTTTGCCTTTGCTAGTTGTTGTTGTTGTTGGCGGTTGCCTTTGTTTTTATGAATTGGCTTTGTAGTCCTCGCTGCTGTCATTGTCATTGTTGTTGTCATATTGATGACAATTGCATTTTGGCATGCAGCTGGGTTCCATTTACATCCGGTGCGCGCTTTTTGCAGCAGATTTTTTCCTTTATTTTTACCTTTTTACTTTTATTTTAGTTTTAAATTTGCAGCCGGCGGAAGTAGAAAATGCATCGCAGCTCTTTAACATATCTATCAATACTAACTAGTTTCCTGAGCTAAAAAGCTGCCAGATTATGCATTGAGCGAATGGAACGGAATGACAATGGAAAATATCAAAGGTTGTTTATTTGCTAAATTGTCTATAGAGCTTAATTTTTCTTTTCGGAAAAGTTTTCTTTTAAAATATTTTATTTAAATCTATATATAAATTCTTAAGCAAAATTCATTTTTATAATTTTTAGAATTTTTTTTATAAATTCCAATAATAATTTTAGCTTTGACCTCTCACATTGCGGCTTCAATAATTACTCTACTTAAAATAATCATTCTCAAACTTGATCAGTATTAAAAGATGACACAGTAGATAGTATTTAATCTAGATAATTAACCCCGCCTAAATAAAGCCTACCCTGTTCACTTTAACTTCAAGTCCTTAGCCTACATTAAATAATATAAGTTCCCCTACATATCGCCTTCTTTTAATTTTAAAAAATTTTATAAATTCAGTTTCAATACCAAAAGTATTTTCTTATGAAATTTCTCACATTGCCGCTTGAAGAATTCCCAGGTGTAACTTCCATTGAGCTTGGCTCACCTGTCCTTAAAATTATCATCTCCATGCATAATCAACAATTTCACTCGGCAATACAAAATTATATATTTGTAGCAAGACTAAACCAGATATAAGTAAAAGGCAACAAAACAAAATTCACCTGTCCACACGGATTTCTAACTTTTAATACATAAATTAATGCTTTAAGCAAAACACAAAGCAATCCACGACATTAAAAAGATAAAGACCTGCGCACAGAGAGACAGCGAGAGAGGGCGAGGCAGACAGGCATAGAGAGATTCCACCTGCAGTTCAACATTCAAGAGCAACATATAATAATCCCATCAACATTTTTGGATACGCTTTGCAAATGAATTGCGGCTCGACCGGCCGGTTCAATAAGTGAGAACGCGAACGGGACTAAGCACGGGAACCGGACCCAAGCGTGGATAATAATAATGTGGAACCGAAAATGTGTGTGCTGCGATCGCGGCCCAGGACTGACGACGGCGACTAGCTGGCGTCTGTCTCGTCTGTCTCGAACTGTCTCGAACTGTTCTGCATTTGCACCTGCAACGGTTGCTCCAGCCAGCAAATTTGATGAGCCGTGCGAGGCTTATAATTAAATTGAAGTTGTAGATACAATTTGATATCAACGCCGTTGCGCTACATAAAACATATACGTATTAAAAATTGTATAATGGCTACGCTTAGCATTTAAATACCTTTCACGAAAAGGTAAACTGTTTGGGGGCATAAAATTGGAATAAGCGTAAATTTCTCAGTTCAAGCAAAAAGTCATAAAAAAATGTGAGCCAAAAAGGTATGTGATAAGTGATAAGTAAAACATGGTTTGGCTGTTCTTAATTATATAAATAAAAATTATAAAGAATAAAAGTTAACATAAGCAAAGAGGGACTAGCGCGTGAATACCATAAACTCTTGAAAGAAGATCTACTTTTTGAGTCAGCTTCACTTGAGTTATCTTCTGCATAACAAAATTTACTCTACTTTGACACATGCCTTACATATATATTTTATAAATTTTATACATTTTATAAATTTTATAAATTTTATAAATTTTAAAAATTTTATAAATTTTATACATTTTATATATTTTATATATTTAGATATGTGCTTTTATAGACACTCTTCAACTCCTTCACTATCATTATCCAGGTCGGCTATACCAAGAAATTGGCTTGTTTCATATGTTTATTATAGACAACAGCTGAGAGTTTACTTTTCCACTCAAAGCATTCACATACACGAAAAGTAAAAGCTGGCACAAAATTTAAAATTTAAAAAAAAAATCTGCATAAAAATGTCTCTGCCTCTGCTGTATAAATCAAAATTCACACACAGACGCGATTGTATGCAAAAAATTTTATATATATATATAATATATATATATATATATATATATATATATAATAATAATAAATGCCGCAGGTGGCCACAAGACCTGTCCATTTGTCCTTTGAACGTTTTCAAGTGTTTGTCTTTGGCATCCAGTTGGACAAATTTACATGCGCGCCTCGCACACAATGAGGCAGCCGCAGGTAGGCCTGACTGGACATTCCAATCCACAGTGGACAATGGCCACACGTCGATATTCAAATAGTTTTTTTCCCATTCTTTACATTTTGTCATTCTTTTTCATTTCATTTCATTTGTTTGCTGCCGCTGCTGCTCTACTCACACACACATACAGCGGGTCAAATACGTTTTAAATAAAAATACTTATAAAGGTTGTTTGCTCGTCTGATTTCCGCTTTTGTAATGCTCATTATCCTTTGTATGGATGTGTGACAAACGCTACCTCACAGCTGTGTGGGTGTCCTTTCAAGTCTTAAGCCCGGTGGGAGACAACTAGCAGCAGCAACAGCAAATCAATCAAACATTGCCTAGCAACACATTAATCCTTTTTTCGATTTAACAATTTTTGACAGACAAAGAATCTCATATCAATATCAAGAACTATTCATAGCAGATTTTTGTTTGGCGAAATGTTTCCTTTTAGAAATGAAGAGACAAAGGATTTCGACAGCTTTCAAAACTCTATAACTTTAAATCTTTGTTATTGAAAATATGAACATGAGAAACTGAATTTGCAAACTTCAATATGCTCAAAGCTTAAGAACTCATATAGATTAGCTAGACCGTCAGGTAGATTTCACTAGTTGCAAAAAAAAAGTAATCCTAAGAAGGTTTTAAAAAACAGCTACAAGTGTTCTATGTATCTCTAGAGTCTCTAGATATGATGATGCTTTAAAACTAAGTCAAATTACTGATTGATAGGCTCAAGGGGATATTGAGAAAGAATATATATTTAAAGTTTAAAGTTTTCAGCTTTTTTTAGAACAGTCGAAAGACAATCGAACAAGGCTGGATCAACTCAGCGCATCATTCATCTCGTAGATTCGGGAGATACTGAAAAATATTTTTCTAAAATTTATCATTTTGATAAAACTTCTTAATTTCAATTTTATTTTAATGTGCTTTTATTTCATATTTTGCTTATTTATACATATTTTATTTATAAAAATTCCAAGAAAGAAAACTAAAAATAAAAAGACTTACTCACTTTGCCTTTAATTTCCAGATAATAATGCCAATTAAAACTAATATTATCAACAAAACAGGAAATAAAAGTATCAATTTTTTACGATGTGTTGAATTACGTCTATTTACTATAGTTTGAAGCTCAATGCAGCCGTCCTCGACGTTAGCTGCAGTGCGATCGATAAGCGTTTCCACATTATCTGCAATTTGAAATGTTTATCTTTATGAATATTTCTATATGAATGGAAAGCATTGTTAAAAAAAACTACATTTATGCTGATACGATATGATAGTGGTATGCCCCTAATGATTTGGCAAATTTATCGGACTTTGATCGATCAGCTAACACAATTTCAAACTTGACAATTTGTTATCGAAAGTGCTTTGGGCTGCAGCAATCGATATGCAAGTTTATTTTCCATTATCAATGTCGTCTAAAGAGATCTTTAATCTTAACAACTACTCACCCACCACCTCACCCTGCTCGATCGTCAACTTTCTTAGCTCGTTCATAGTGAGATGCACATCGACTATATCCGAGTGAAGTTGTTCGACCTGGCGGTGACGCTCAACGAGCATATTGTGCTCGCTCTCCAGATCCGCTTGTTCCTGGCGTTGCTGCTGCGACACGTCAGCCTCCCGCTCAGCGGCAACGGCCTCTTGATAGCTTTGTCGCAAGACCTTCCAGTTGCGCTTCTGCTGCTCAGAGTATTTAACGAGCACATGCTGAAACTCACTTGTGAGCCTCTCCAGCTGCAGCTTCTGCTGACGATCACCATGGCGCAACCTCGCCTGCAGCCGCCTCAAGTCATCACTTGTGATCTCTACCAGTTCATTGGTCTTACTATTAATACTATGGATCTGCTCTTGCAGCACAGACACATCCTTTGCGTTGGGAATCAGTTTCAACAACTTCTGCAACTGCTTGGTGCTGGCGTTGATCGATGTGATATTGTGACCAATAGCCTCGTTGAGCGACGCAAATTTTGTAGGATTCGAGCTGCAGCGAGCGTCACTGAGCATGGAACCAAGGCTGCCCTGCCTGCTGCTCGATGAGCCGTTGAATGTCTGCGCCATGATACGTTGTGAGCTCGAGGGACGATCAGAAATTTGTCTTTGAATTGTTGCAATCGACTTATCAAATGAGTCTCGCCTTACGCAAACAAACTTGAGCAAATGATTCACTTCAGCAGAGTTGATCAGAAATGACCAACAAGCATATATATGTCCATATATATATATATATATAAAGCAAGTACTTATAAGCACACACAATGGGCAATGCGCTTATGGGTAGCAGCAACAGCAACAGCAACAGCTATAGGATTCCAATTATAAGTTTAAGTTATTGTCTTAGGAATATTTTATTTCTGTATAAATAACAAGTTAAATTATGCCAGAGTACAAGAAGCTTATATACAAAAACTTAATTTGTAAGCGATGTTAGCTGCAATCCCATGATATAGTGCAACGATCCAAGCGACGTCTCTATAGCTGGGGCTGCCTAGAAGAAAGAGACGAAAATGTTAGTTAGCTTTAGCCAGCTGACAAGATCAATTGGAATAGGAAAATATTTCATTCGACTGGTCTATTGTTGCTGCACAGCTGCAATCGATGTTAGTTAGCTCCGATTTAAGGCTCAAAGGTGGAGCTGGTCGTGCCACAAACTCCAGGCACACGGAAGGGGCAACTTTGACATTTGGATAATTTATGGCCCGCAGGCGGCAGAAGGAATGTTTCACAAATTGCCAAGTCATTTTTGCTACTTATCGCAATTAGTTTGTGTTTGTTTAATTATAAAAATAGTTTGCCCAACAAAGTTTTCTGTGCGCTGACATTTATTGGGCGTGTTGCGCCGCCCTCCTCGGACTCGTCAAAAACTAAAGTTTTACGGCATTGGCATGAACGAGGGGAAAAGTGAGAAGTGAAAAGTAAAAATGTGAAATGGAAAATGGAAAATGTGAAAATGGCAAATGAAAAATGTGAAACTAAAAATTTTTATTTAATTTTTGCTTTCGTTTCGTTTGCTATGCAAATTTGGCGCTTTTGATGCGCTTTTAATTAGCCCTCTCCCCGCATGGAATAACGCGAAAAATCCGCTGTCAATTGGTTGTTGCCTTTGTTTTTCTATGCTGATTCGTATTGCACTTTGATTCTGTGACGCACCCCCGTCCTGCCACACCCACTCCCACAAGCCCGCCCCAATTGCATGCAAATGAGCGTTCGCTGGCGTATATGGCAACAGACGTCCAGGTGTTAACCCACCTGGTGGCACGCTGTTTGGATCCACGCTCGGATTTTTTTCGGAACGTTTTACGTTTTTAGTTTTATGCTGCGAGAATTGAAGTGTCCTTTGCATATTCAACAGCATGCAAATGAACTGCACTCAGCCTGCAATTACAACAGCACTTGGCGTTGGCAATGGTGTTCGGTTGATGCATTCAGTTTTTCTATTTGATATCCATTTAGAAGTATTAAAACGAAAATTGGGCCTATAGAGCATGAAGTCTTTAAAAATCATATTGCTGAGCAATGAAGGGAATCTCAGCTGAGAATAATAACATGTATTCATTACAAAATAATGGAAGCTTCTTTCCTTAACAGATATGCAACGCGAATTAACGACAGACCTAGTCTGATAGTCTATGATCCATGCAAGCAAGCATGATCCATTAAGCAACTACATCATCGAACACTGCATTGACCTTTCAGCAATAACAACAATATTTAGTATTGTATATATTATAGGTTAAACATACCTATCTAATGTCATATAAATCTATTCCGTGGCTTTACTTGTGCTAACGGCAGCCGCAGCAGCAGCCTGCGTCGCATGATGCTTGGCAACCGCTTCCTGGGCTTTGCTTAGCTGTATGTATCCTTCATGTGCACGCGAACGCAGTTCGCTTTCGACACTTTTGTTAACCGATTTGGATATAACGGCCTTGATTTTCTGTGTCTCATTGAACTTGCCCTTCTTGGCTTGTATGGGAGCGTCTGCAAATAAAAGCAGGATGCTTAGTTTGTAAGAGAATGCAACCTGTTGCCAAAATCAATTACTCACTTGATCTGCGCGTAAATGCTGCTTGTTTCTGCTGCTTCTTTTTGTTTTGTATCGCTGCAGGCAACTTCGCTTTTTTAAATTTACCTTGTGGCATTTTACTATTCTTAAATTCAGTGTAAACTACAAAACAAACAATGCACGTGTTTGATAAGCCTTTTACAGCTGATGTCCGATACTTTGTGGTGGTTCACCGATATTTGTTTATGTGAACGCAAAATTGAGTATGTTATTTTTGATGTTATTTAACATTACTCCACATTAATCAGCTGTCCACACTTTAAAAAAAAACTGCTCCACTCTTGTCATTTTCCCGTGTTTTTTATTTGTATGCGGACGAGTTAAATAGCTTTGGTTAATTGAATGTGTACATAAAATCAAATCAGATTATATAAATTGATCATTTAATATCTTAAGCATATATACCGATAAGCAATCAACCGAGTTTATTCAACGTATATTATTTGCTTGCTTAACTACGAAAAAACAAATTCAAAACGCAAATTATTGTTTTGATATTTTTGTTCTTTGCTTTTTTTTCTTTTGTTTGTTTAACAGGAAATAATTTAACATTTAAAAGCGTTGAATATTTTGTAATTTGTTATTGTGTTATCATTAAGTTTTAAATGGTTTCTTTTCTTTTACATATATATTTATATATTTTATAATTTATAATTATTTTCTTTCTTTGTTTTTCATACACATAACTACGATCTACAACGCGTTTCGGATTTAAACTCGTATTTTTATTGAATTTTTTTGCGGTTGTTGTGTTTTTGTCTTTGCCCGCTTGGCGCGCGCCTTTTTCCTCACTTTGTGATTAATGCCTTATTTTTTATAAAAATAGTTTTACAAAACTTTTAATTACTTTATGTTTATGTATGTAGAAGGGTATGTCTGTGTATGTGTGTGTATACATATATATAAAACAATTAACTCAATTTACCGACTATAATGCCAGTTACAATTAACCCTATTATCACAGCAATCACTAAAAGTATCAATATCTTACGGCGGTAGCTATTACGACTAGCTGCTGCCTTCTGAAGCTCAATGCGGCCCTCCTCCACGTTAGCGGCAGTGTGATCGATAAGCGTTTCCACATTATCTGAAATATGAAATGTTTATCTTTATGAATACTTCCGTATGAATTCGAATCATTGATTGATTTAATAAAAAAATTGTCTGTATTTACGATTATACGATATGATAATGGTATTCCCCAAAATGATTGAATTTATGTGCAAGTTTGTTATCAAAAGAGTTTTGAATTCGATAAGTAAATTAGTTATCGAAATTGATTTGAATTTCGGCAATCGGTATGAAAGTCGTTATCAATATCGTTTTTTCATGAAACACAGCATGTTTTGGACAATCACTCACCCACTACCGTTCCCTGCTCCGCCACTAAGTTGCTTAGCTTGTTCATAATGACATTCACATCGAGGATATCCGACTCAATTTGTTCCACTTGGCGCTGACGCTCGACGAGCATATCGTGCTGCCTCTCCAGGCCGGCTTGTTCCTGTCGTTGCTGCTGCAGCAACTCCGATCTGGCAGACACGTCCGCTTCACGCTCAGCCTCAGCGGCCATTTGATAACTCCGTCGCGTGGCCTCCGAGATGCGCTTCTGCTGCAAGGAGTATTTTACGAGTACTTCCTGAAATTCACTTGTGAGCTTCTCCAGCTGCAGCTTCTGCTGACGATCGCCGTGACGTAACACAGCCTGCAGCCGTTCCAAGTCCTGGCTTGTAGTCTGTACCCGCGCATTGGTCTTAGTATTAATGCTATGGATTTTCTCCCGCAGCGCAGACAAATCCTTGGCGGTGCCAATCAGCTTGAGCTGCTTCTCCAGCTGCTTGGTGCTGGTGTTGATCGATGTGATATTGTGACCAATATCCTCGCTGAGCGACACAAACTCTGTGGGACTGAAGCCGGAATTGCCCGAGTTGGAGGCAGCGGCAAAGCTGACCTCGGGCGTGGCAGTGGTTATGGCACCATAGTCACGATGCGTGCTACTCGATGGATTATTCAATGGCTGCGCCATAGTAGTTGGGCTCTGCTCACTGTTTTACGATGTATGTGTATATAGATGAGGCGGCGAGTGTGTGTGCGATGGCTTCAAGGGTCGGACACAAAATCTGTCTTTGGTGATCCGCTTCTTTATATTTTGTGGGTGGTGCGTGCTCGTTGGGTTCTATGACGCGACTGTCTGCGAATGTAGAATGCTTGACTTTAGCTACCGCAACTATCTACAAACTAATGCGCTTCGCATTACACAAACAAACAACCTAGAGCTGGAGCCAAACAAATGATTCACTTCAGCAGAGTTTATCAGACATGCTAACATATGACCAACAGGCATACAAATATACATATACCCTCATATACGAGGGCATGTACATATGTTTGCGTGTGTGTGAGTACACACAATCACAAACATCTACACACACGCAGTTTAGTGGCTTGTCTGTGCCTGTGGGCACCAGCACCTATATGGCTTCCAATTATTAGTATAAATTACCTATGATTTACTTCAGTGGGCGAGTTGATTTCCAGTTTCTTTTTAACTAATTTTTGCCCAGTGCGCAAGCCTTTCACTGCATTACACACAAAGACAAAAAACGTACTATCGATAATTGCGTTAGCTCTTAGTCATTTATCGATGCTTTGCAGCCCTATATAAGCGTAGAGCATTTGACAGCACTGAACAGTGATAGCCGCAAGAAATTGGCGCGCCAAACTCACCTAATTATAGCTATTCCGCGAAATATCAGTGGTAGAATTCGGATATTTTATAGCTATTTCAATGCACTCCTATTGAGATTACAAGCGCCAAGAATCCTCCGATAGTCAGGCAACATTTATTGTTTCTCGTCTTCTTTTTGACTCCAGCTTACCAAGAAATGTCATATATCGATAACAATCCCTCATAACTTCCACTGCATTACATGAGAAACTTCGGAGTTGGCGGCTTGTTTGAATTTGTTAATGTTTAGTTTAATGTACATTGGTATCACACATACATGCTCCACTCCATAAAAAGACAACAAATACTTTTTCTTTACGTTGTTTTTGTAATTCCGTAGCTTTAACGTACAGAGTTATGCTAAAAAGTAAAAATCCTATTTACTCTTGTCCCCTAATCTGCTGCTGCTCTGTCCGGCTGGCATATTGTGTTTAGTGGGTCTTGGCGGCCAAGCGCTTGTCACGCTCCTCCGAAATGCTCAGCTTAACACCCTTGCCCTTTGGCAGCGAGATGTAAGGCTTGTTGCCCTTGCCAATGATGAAAACGTTGGTCAAACGAGTGGCGAACACATGACCCTGCGAATCCTTAATGTGCACGATATCGAAAGATCCGGGATGACGCTCGCGGTTAACAACAGAGCCAACACGTCCCAAATTCCTGCCTCCAGTGATCATGCAAAGGTTGCCTGTGAATTAGAATAAGATATGTTGTATTACACTGGTCTGTATTCTTTTAAAACAATTTTAAATTTGTAATTGCACGTAAAAGTTACTGAAATGGCTGAATAAGTGCACAAATCAGAGACCGTCGTATCAAAAATTGCTATTGGCTTTGTATTTGAACCACGCAACTTGTTAGAAAGCGTTTTGTGGTCTTCGAACCAGCCAAGAGGATGACGAAACATTGCATTAAAAGAACCTACCCGAATCGAACTTGATGTAGTCGGTGATCTTGCCGGTGGCAATGTCCACCTGCACGGTATCGTTGGCGTGCACCAGAGGATCGGGATAACGGATGGTACGGCCATCGTGCGTAACCAGGAAAGGCACACCCTTAGCGCCCAATTGTGTCTTGCGCACCTTGCACAGCTTGTACTGCAATAGAAAGAGGAATATTTTATTATAATACAATATATAAGAGTAAATTCTCACGAATGGCTTTTTAGTTAATTTGTAATTGCACGTAAAAGTTACTGAAACGGCTGGAGAAATGCTCAAGATCAGAGACCGTCGTATCAAAAATTGCTTTGGGCTTTATATTGAACCAATTGACGTATAAAAAAAACAGAAATCGGTCTTCGATAAAGCCCATCGAGTGACTATCCTAATCAAATTTAAACCTACCTTGGCCTCCTCAGCGGAGATGCGATGGATGGTGAAACGGCCCTTCACATCATAGACCAGACGGAAGAACTCACCAGTCTTCTCGATGGTGATGACATCTAAATGATAAACATCGATTACTCAACTGAATTGGAGAACGAAGTGTACTTCGACTTACCCATGAAGCCAGCGGGGTAGGTGGGATCGGTGCGCACCTTGCCGTCGACCTTGATGAGACGCTGCATGACAATTTTGGTCACCTCAGCGCCATTCAGAGCGTACTTGAGACGATTTCTCAGGAAGATCAACAAAGGCAGCGACTCGCGCAGCTTGTGTGGACCGGTCGATGGACGTGGGGCGAAAACACCGCCCAATTTGTCCAACATCCATGCCTTGGGTGCGGCTAAACGCTTCAAATGTTTCTTAGGTCCACGAGCCTACAAAAACATTGCACGAACACATATTAATAATAATTTATTATACTCCCAAGCAAACGACTGCAATAACAAACAAAAACGCATAGTTTTTTTTATGAAAAATCACGCACTTGCACACAAATGTTCACATATTCAACAATTGTACAGTTTGTAGCGTTATTTATTATATAGTTCACGTCATTTTTGTTTGTATTACGCGTCGATGGCAGCGTATTTAAATTGCATTTATATTTTCAGCCTTACCATCTCGTACGATACGTAAAAAAGGAAAGGAAGTTGACGCGCTGTCAGTTCATTTGACAGCTGCGCAAAGAGTTGCCAGATTGAGTTCTTTAAGTGTGACCATGACAACAAAAATTTGTGCTGTCAAATATCCACCTTATAAGGGTTGCACAGAGCGCGCAAATTATATTGATATTTAAAGTACCGAACCGTATCTTTTACATTTGTTTATTTTTTTTATATATTACTTTAATTAATAATGCTCTCAAACGCACACAATTTTCGTTTTAGGTATCATTAATTACATTCTGTAAAACCTACTTAGACATTAAACGGTAGTGTTCTAAGCAAACATTATTGCCAATTAACTGTAGCAACATGCATTTAACCAAACTTTTTTCTGAAGTTTGATCTGATGGATTTTTTTAGGGCTTTTCTTTTTTGGTAAAAGCACAATGGCTTTTTATTTGTTATTAAAGTTTTTTTTTTATGTTTTATGTTGAGAAATTTCTTGCTTTTTTGTACATAATACAAATTGTATTTATCATGCACGAATTCGGATTTCTTTTTATAATAGGTTCGACGCGCAATGTGACTTAAACGTATGAAATAAATTGTTAGAAATATTATTTAATGTATGTAAATATGAATGTTACGTTAGTGTTTAAATGGCTACGCATGTCTGTCTAAAAGTCTGTATGTCATATGTATGTATTTGTAATGAGGGATCGCATTTTGTTAACGTTTCATTCCTTTCTTCATTTTAATTTAGTCAGTTGCTTTCTTCTTTTTCTTCCATTTTGTAGCCGTTTCTTATTGTTGTTGATGATGTTATTGTTGTCGTAGCTCAGTCCAACTTTTTCATTGATTTCAGCGCACGCTCGCGCAGTTGCTTCTCCAAATCCTCATTGATGCCAGGGCCGCCAGAAATCATCAGCGGCAGCTTACCATTCCGTTTGCCTGCAGCCCTCGTCCTGGCATGCTGCTCCTCATCCTCATCGCCACTGCTCTGCGAGCTACTCTCTTGCCGATGCTTTGCGCTGCTGCTGCTCTTTCGCTTATGCTTCTTATGCTTCTTGCTCTTCTTGCTGTGCTTCTTATGTTTCTTGTGTTTCCTTTTCTTCGAAGACGACTCGTCCTCCGAGCCCGAGTCGCTGTCACTGCTATCGGCTGCTTTCTTTGACTTCTTGCGTTTCTTTTTGGGCAAACGTTCATCGTCGGAATCGCTGCCGCTGCCATCTCTTCGCGATTTCTTATGACTTCGCTTGCGGCTTCTGTCCAAGCTTCTTTGCTTCTCGGCCAGCGACTCTGCATGTACTCTTTCCTCACTCGACGCGCTGCGCTGCAATTTCTTGTCCCCACTGCGACGCTGCTTCTCCTTCTCCTTTTCGCTTCTGCTTGCAGTCGTCGTTTCCTCTTTACGTTTCAGCTGCGACTTCTTCTTGTGTCGCTCATCGCTACTGTCGTCATCGTCGCTGCGGTCACTGCTGCTGCTGCTGCCCGAGCTGCGCGACGCCTTGGCCTTGCTGCTGGAGCCTTTGCTTGGCTCCGCCGCCAAAGCTTTAGCCTTTAAGCTATTTTTGCCGCTTGCCGCTGACCGTCGCGACTGTTGGCGCTGCTTCTTCTGCTGCTCCTCATCTTCGCTGTCATCGCTATCATCGACACTGCTGTCCGAGCTGCTGCTCTGGCTGTTGTCGCGAACCTTCTTTGGAACTGCGACAGCGTTGCGCTCATGCGACTTAAGGAACGGCGACGGTGTGCGCGACAGACTGGCTAAGCTACGGCGCGTTGACAGCGACTGCGACTGCGATGGAGGCTGGGGCTGCGGCTGCTGTTGTGACTCGAATTTTCGCTGCGGCGGCGGCTGCTGCTGTTCTAGTTGCTGCGGCGGGGGCGGCGGCTCTTCGCGACAGAGATCAATGGTGTTGACAGCCGGGCCGGCAAACTCAACGGAGCGACGCGCTGCTGCGGGACTGGGACGTCGACGCTGTTGCTGTCGAGAGTTGGAACGACTGCGGCTATGCTGGCTGCGGCTGCGACTGCGTTTCGTAGGTCGTCCGCTGGAGCGACTGCGGCTGCGACTACGATTTCTGGCTACTGGACTGACGCTGCGCTGGTGCTGACGACGCGCCGCGGGACTAGCGCTGCCCGAGCTGGAGCGACGCATGCGTTGGTGCTGCTGCTGTTGATTGCGTATGGGCTGGCGCGGATCGGGGTGATTCTGATCCCAACGATTGTAGCTCTGTGGCGAGCCACGCCTATCGAAGCGACGTCCGGGCGAGAATTGTTTACGGAACTGTTGTCCCTGCTGCTGTGGACCGCCCGGGCCGGGCGACTGGCGGCGATCCCGCGAATAACGATGCTGACCACCACCGCCCGGCGGTGACTGACGACGATCGAAGCGTCGCCCACCATTGGGACTGTTGTGCCTGGCCTGCCAGTGTATACGTCCGCCGCCCCGCTGATTGGGACTGCCGCCACGATATTGCTGCTGCCACATGTTACGATGGTTGCCGCCACCCCTTCCGCCACCACCTCCACCGCCGCCGCCGCCACCACGACCACCACCACCTCCTCCGCCTCCACCGCCGCCACCGCGGAAATGCATTGGCGGCGAACGACGGCGATTATTGAACCTGTTAAACGGATAATGCAAAAAAAATGGCATTTAGTCAAGATTATGAAATATCGAGAACAAAATCTAAATATGAGCAACTAAGAGACAGCTATCATTGAGTATATCGAGTGCAAAATATCGATGTCCTCAGACAAATACTGACAACTAAGACGACATGGACGAATGACAAGCTACTTATGTCAGATAATGCTGACTGTAATAGACAGATATAGTAATTAAAGGTAGATATGATGGACTAAGCGAGGTAATTAATTAACAACAAAAGAGCGAACTAAGGGATCGAAAAGAAAACCAATCCTAAGAGCGTATCCGGACAAAAAGTACTATAAGAACCATACACATTAAACTTATCCTAATATGTTTTGATTGAAGTTTGATATGTCTCTTAAATATAACAAGTCTTTTTGACAAATTTTTCTAGCAATGATTAAACTTTCAAAGATATATTAAGGGCAAAGCATGGAAACCTTTTGAGATAGATTAACAGATTTGCAAGTTAAGAGATTAAAATTTAGACAAATCATAATTGTGATTTCAGTCAGATAATAGAGATATACGATTAAACAAAAGCTTATCCTTAAACTTTTGATATAATCTTTTATATGAATTATCTATTTATAAGAATATAACATATATGTATATACTAACTATCCTCAACTGTGTCGTCTATATACATTTAGTTATAATTTTCATAATATATTAGAATTCATAGTATTAGTCTAGAATTAGTCTGGGCTCAGTGAGCCATTTACAGAGCTCAGCTACTTAGAAATACATAACATATCATATAATTCCTATACATATAAACTCAGCTTGACTTATCTTCAATCTCTAACAACTTGCTCTCTTATATACATATATGCATATTTTATTAATACATATACCTAAATGTATATATTCTTACCTCCTTGGCGATCTGGAATAGCGCATAGGCGATCTGGATAGCATGCGGGAGCGTGAACGACGTCGCGAATTGGAGCGCTGAAAGCGCCTATCACCTCCGCCACCGCCATTGTCCTGACGCATGGGACTGCGTCCGCGTGGCGAAAAGCGTCTGCCATGTGGTGGAGGTCGTCGTCCACCACCACCGCCGCCACCACCGCCACCAAATTGCCTGGCACGACCATCGCCTCGCTCAATGGAGCTGGCGGAATCATCACGATTGTTGCGATATTGTCGCTTATTTTGCACGCTGTTCTTGTTGCGTCGATGTTCGAACTGTTGATCCTGTTGGCGCTCCGGTGACAGCGAAATGCTGCTGGCTCGCGAGCGCGAGCGACGATGACGCCGATTGCTGCGTGCCGAGGAGCGCGAAGAGCTGCGCGAACGAGTACGCCTCTTTGGCGAGCCTTTGCCCCCGCTACGGGATCTATGAAGATACGAATCCATTATCATTATTGTTCAAACAAGAAGAAGTTATAGAGATGTAGACATCTAATAATCTTGTTTAGAAATCTAACTCAATATGATTTCGAAAAACATTTGCTCTAGCATAATCAAAATTAAGTGTTTTAAATTATAAATGAAGTAAATTCTTGCAATATTTGTTTTCAAATGCTCATTTGGATCTTATGAAGTAGAAATAGACTTGGTGACGTTTACAATATCTTATTAAACCTTAACGAACAGTGACTATATATATGCTAGTCTATTACAGACATTTATATATTATTAACTTTCATTTCCTAACGATATCAACATCTCTATTATAGCTGTCAGTGTGCTTATCTACCTGGAGCGACTGCGTGTTGAACGCGAGCGTGAACGTGAGCGCGATTTGGCCTTTGTTTTGGATTTGGACGCAGCTGCTGGCGATGTTTTTTGGACAGAGTGGCGTCCATTTAAAGTCTTGATAGCACCACCACCAACGTCTGTGGAGGCCGCTCGTTGTGCTGAGCGATTGGAACGAGAGCGGGAATGTGAACGGCGGCGACTGTTACGATGTTCTCGCGATGTGCCGCGTCCACCGCCGCCGCCAGCTGCTGAACCTGCTGCAGTTGCTGTTGTTCCTCCTCCAGCTCCACCTGCAGCACTGGGTGAGCCGCCGCTACCGGCGCCGCCTCCACCTACACCACCACGCTTGCGTAGGCGAGCGGCTGCATTTGCTGCCGCCTCTCGTGCTGCACTGTTGATAGGCACTGCAGTGGTGCCGCCATTGTTGGAGGCTGCTGCCATTTTGGATACCGACCGACTGCGTGAACGCGATTTGGATCTGTCGTGACGTCGCGGCTTGTCCCGTGAGCGCGAAGGGGACCTGGAGCGAGAGCGAGAACGTGACAGATCACGTTGACGCTGCTGTTGCTGGCGCTGCTTTTGCAGCTGCTCCTCCTCACGCTTCAGTATCTCATCCTTCTTCTGCTGTATAAACTCTGCGGGAATGCCACTGTCGCTCTCCTGCGCGGAGAGCAGCAGCGCCCATAGCTCGCCCATAAATTGGCGGGCATTGCGTCCGTTAAGGAAACCGGTCATATTGATTTGCATTTTTTTGGGACAGGGATATTTTTCCTCCTCCAGCTGATTATAAACAAACTCAACGACGACATCGTCCTCAATGTGCAGAATATCAGTGATTTTTTTACTTATCCAAGGTCGAAGCACATCTAGCTTAACTTTGGACATATCCACACGCTTATTTAGGCAATCCCCGAATTTCATTTGCTTCATTAGCTTCTTTTCCTTGTCGCTGAAGCGCGTGTCCTGCTGCTGATTGGTGCCCTAAAAACAAAAGGAAAAGCCACAAAAAAATATATATATTTCATGTCAATATGATTTCACCGCTCTTTTCATGAAGTCAGCATAGAGTCTGAATTGCAATTTGCCAGCAGAGATCATAAAGAACAAATTGAGAGATATACTATGCTCGTTTTCATTTCGCAAATTCCAATGCTTTACACACACAGTAACAAAGCCGTTCTTGAGCAAAAGAGCCGAAAGAGCGTAAGAATTGCATGCTAAAGCTAAGCATAAGCATTGCTGATCATGAAAATAGATTCTCTCTCAATTTTTACTCTTCTCTCTTGGCTTGTGCAGTTTTGCAGCGCCGTTTATCGATTGTTTGTCGGGTAGCAATTGAAGCACCCCTTAGAATAAACGAACATAAGGCGTAACAACAACGTACCGTGAACATCATTTTGAAGCTGAACGCAGTTGCACACTCGTTAGCGTTAAATGATTTTAACTGTGCCGGCTAACTGGTGTTGTTTTTATTTCATGCCACAATTAATGCGCGCGCTCGCAAAACAACAAATATTCTGTAATATTTAACTGTAACCCGGCACCACGCAACAAAATTGTCACCTATACACACACATGCACATGTACACACGGGCACGCACACACACACACAAAACACTCAGCGCGTGTGTGTTAGTGCGAGTGCGGGACGATTAAGTATGCGGCGCTAAATGCACGAAAACAACTTTGTAATAAGTGTAATTCCACAATGTAATTGTTAAACTGTACGCCAAATTACACCCGCTGCACTTTTGTTAACTTTTGCTTGTTCGTTTTCTAAATTTTCGCTAAAAATTTATGCGTGTAGCTAGAGCTGGCACGAAACAAAACGATACACGGCAGTCAAGTGATGAACGATAGTTGTAGCGGCAGCGCATGCACTTTACGCTAAATCATATCGATAGTGGTGACTTTTATGCATAAACGATACATTCTAGCAGAAACTCACCTTGCACTGGATAAATCTATCGCACTCGATTTTGTATTATTTTGCATTTCAAAAAGTGCACTATGCCGGTTATTTGATAGCGATAATCGAATAATATCAAACCAAGTAAAATTCAATGTTTTATTTAAAATAATTTATTTAATTTAAAATTAGTACATACACATAAATTTTAACAAAACGTTAAAAAGGCTTGTTATAATTAATTTATTATATGTAACTATGAACTAAATTTGTTTATGCCAAGTAAACAGCGTGCTTTCTTTCATTTGTCTCCTTTTCTTTTAGCACAAATCAAATAAATTATCGGCAGCTAATGTTCCTTCATTTTTATGTTAAATAATTTATTTGAATTATTTTAATTTAAAACTTAATTTAAGTATTATTTTTCGAGCAAAAGCCTATTTCATTTTAACAGCATTATGAAGACATATGTGTGTATGTATGTATGTATGTATGTATGAAGAGAGACAAACGAAAAGCGAATAAAAACATTGAAAATACGATTTTGCTACAAAAAATAATTCCAGATTTAAGTAAATTTAGCCGCTCCATCCCCATAAACTCGCTCAGTTCTTTTGGTTGCTGTTGTATACCAGTGTAATGACACTCTCCATCTCACTTACGGTATCATGTTCGGCTCTTGAGCTGCTCCCGTCGAATATTTCGGCTTGCAGACACAACCGCTCTCAACGAGCACATAATCCTGGCCAGTGAGCGTCACTGGCCCTAGAGGTATAACCAGGAATAAATAAGGCACATACGTTTGCGTGCACTCGCCTCGGACCACATCGCATTCTGAGGATCTATAGTAAAATTAAGCATAATTGGCATAATTATTATTTGTTTAAGTAATTTGTTATATATGCATTTGCGTAAGTTAATTATACATATGTTCATTTAGTGCCTATCCAAAAGTTTCATTAGTCAGTTAGTCGTAATAAATTACAGTCATTAGGAGTTACTTTTTTTAAACTTTTTAAATTGACATTTGCACAGTTAGCTTAACGTTTATTTGAGTTATCGTTATTTATTAGTCTGGCAACGCTGCATAGTAATTTTCTATGGACATTAAGAGCTTTTCAAAAGGCTTTTTAACTAGTTCATTGTAATAAATACAATCAGACCTCAACAGTCTGGCAACGCTTAACACAATGAGTAATAACGGGCACAAAAAACACAGCTTAAGGGTAATTGAAATGATGTCTTTTAAACACTCACTCGCACACTTCGAAGACCACCTGTTGCAACAGATCGGGAAACTTTTGCACAATTGTTACGGGCTGACCGGAGGTCAAACTAACGCCATACATGGGCGCTGTTGTATTATAGCGCGTCTTGCAGAGTCGCGCAGGCGTATCGCTCTTGCACTGCTGCGCCGGCGATGCGTTCTTCAGCGAACGACCTGCATCAAGAGAGTCAAACAGTCAATCAGACATTCAATCAATTGCGGCCACAAAATCATTAGCATTTGCGGCTGACCGACTTACCATAACGATTGCTTCCGATAGCCTCATTGTTTACCTCATCGTAGGCCCTCAACAATGCACTCGTGGTTATTGCTGGATCCAATGTGGTGGGCAATTTGCTTTGGCGTCCACGTCGCGAATTTCCGTTCCAATTGGAGAATGTGCGCGCAACGGCCGCGCTGCAATTGATAGACAGAGCAAGGCGATAGCATAGGCGTTAGAAAAGAAAGTTGTACATTGTGACCAACGCATAATGAGTCAATGAGTGACACACACACACACATTGTCTTTTTGTACTTGTATTTGCATATATATACATACCTGGGATATGGCGCGTTATTGGGACCCAAGCAGTCTGGTGAATCTGTCAACGCATCACCAGACAAATATTTCAGACCACGCGCGCCGGCGCATTTGCTGGGCGGCGCATCGTCCGCACTGCTGCTGCTGCTGCTGCTGCTAAAGCTGGGCCACAGCGCCGCATTGGCGCAGGTGAGTGCAATGCTGATGACGCAGAGTGCCGTTAGATGCTGTCAAGAGAGTGACAGAGAGGGAGAGAAGAATAAATACATATGAATGCATATTTAATATGTTATCGATATGGTTAAGAGACAAGCCTGTACTTATAACGGTTACAACGAACATGCCAATAAGCGACAGGCAAAAGTTGCCGTGTCATGCGGCATTAAGACAATAAATAAATAAAAATCAAATGAAAATACCCTGTATAGTACTTTTTTATAAAAAATATACTATATATTTAATACCATTTCGATCTTTGAAACTCTGAGATTCGATATCTTATAATGACAAGCCTAAGCAATAAATAAAATACAAGTTCAAAATCCAGCGTTAAGAAACAGTTAGTTTCTTTTACTGGCATTCCTCAAGCCTGAATAAAAACAAGTTTCTTTTTTCTCATGCAGTCTTGACCCGCTTCAACTTTTGTAGCCGCTCGCTAAGCAAATTAGTAGAATTCATAAATAATCATGGTAACCGCAATCGCCCCCATATCCGTACGTGAAAGTAAAAACAAAAGAAATTCCAATTGACGCGGTCGACAACAGAGAGCAGACAACAACCACAACAACAACAACAAGAAAAAATGTTAATACATTTTTCAACATGCAAAGTGGCTTCTAATACGGTCTGAACTTTTTATTACCACTTCTCGTAGTTTTTATGTATCGTTGCCATGTTTTGATTTTTTCTCTTCTTTTTTTGTATTTTCCTTCACTTTCTCTGTGCAGATTTTGTTGATCAAGTGTTGGCCTGACCAAAAAAAGCCAAGAGGCCATTGCCGAAAAACCAGTTTCGGTTGAATCAAATTGCAGCAGCACATAATTTGCTTTTTACTAAAAAAAAAAATGAGCTGCCCGATGAGAAAATCGTTTCACGTATGCTATGCTGGAAAAAAAAGATAATAAGCTCAAACTCAAGCCTGGCAATCGAACATCAACAATCAACTATCGGCAGCGCCATCACTATCTCTATCTCCAAGTCGTAACGTACATTGTCTTCGGCCACAATTGCTGTTTATTTATATACAAATAATTGCAATGTCAATGCGAAGGTATTTTTAAATTGATTTATAACATTGCTTTTATGATATGTGACCGTCGGCTTGCTTTGAATTGCTTTGAATTTCTTTTGCGTGCGAAAGCACACACAAAAAATTAAATAAAAACGAAACAAAACTAAACTTTCTTTTCAATTGCACATTTGATGAAAATTATAGCTTGGTTCATTATAGCCCATTGCGTGTTTCTGCGCTGGTGGGAAGTAAATGAAAGCGAAATTCTATTATTTAATTCTTTTCACATTCATTACAAGAAATTAATGAAGTCGTCGTCTTTAATGGTTGTAGTTGTTGTTGCCGCTCTGCGAGTCGCACAGGTTTTACAACACTCTCACCTGAACTCTGGTCTGGCCCTTTTGTCAAATTCTGTCATTAAAGGCGCCATTGTCAATGCCGGTTTTAAACTTTCTGTTTTGAGGGGACAGACGACGTTGATGACGACGGCGACGGCCCCTAACTATTTCGTTTAATAATCATAATAAACACATACCTAGTCCCGCCTCTAAATTAAACTAATTTCACATTTAAGCAGTCGCTCGAGCATCTCAATCAGCGCACTTTATGCAGACGGACAATGGCAGTTGCGTTGCCAGGGTGAAAAGAAAGGAGCGTGATGAGTGGCAACTCTTATTTATTTTTTTTTTTTGTAGCAGTCATATTTCGAGTTCATTGAAATTGTCGCGCCAATGACTGGACAAATCACAAGAAAAATGGAAAAAAACATGCAAATAATTATAATAATTATGATAAGCTGATTTTTTCTGTCTGCTTCTCTTCTCCTATAATTGGGTTAGAAATTGTAAAATCATGCATTAATCAAAAAGCCATTGAAGACGCTCACGGCGACAATTTCAACATTTCGGACTAATGCTCAGTCATTAGCGACGCTTACATAACAAACAGCAAAAACAACAATATTTTTAAAGTAGCCGCGGCAACGCACTAAATGTTTTTTGTTGTTGGTGACTTAACGCATAACAACTAAAAAGCGAAGCAAGCAGGCAGGTTAGAAAAAATAAGAATTAAAACTACAGCAAAAGAAACAGCAAAAACTATCAAGAGCACACAGATGAAAAAACACACACACACGGCGTACATACATCCATGCGTACGAGAGCTCTTACAAACATACATATAAGGTGCCGTTATATCGAGGTTAACGACCTACATTCATCTTTCTCTCTCTCGCTCGCTGTATGGCTCAATCACTCACATGTCGCACTCTTGGATCTTCGCCTATTAGCTGAAAGCTTTTGGAAAAGCATAAACATTTAATAAACAATATTTAATTCTAATACAAAGCACAAATTGCCCCACACAATAATATGGGACGCTGTGCTTTGGCTCTTAGCTATAGTTCAAGTGAAAATTGGTTCTTGAAAGCATAACAGAGCAGAGCAGAGCAATGGGGCGACGACAGATTACTGACAGCAAACAAATAGCAAACAACTTGAAACTGGTTTATTGATAAGCGTTGCCAGCTGCTCTGGCACACAGCAAGTTCCATATTCTCAACGACCAATCTCTTTAAAATGAAATAAATTGCTATTTGTTTGTTTTGTTCGAATGACACAATTTTCAAGGCCTTTGTTGTTTTCTGGCCAAGCAACTCGTGCAGGATCAATGAATTACTAACACAGATTCTTTCAAGCAGGCTGCCATCACGGATTGTCCAACACTGATCGGCTTTTGCATGTTTTACATTTGTCAATCGATTACCATGACGATAAATAAAGTGCAGCGTTCACAAGTGAAATAGTTCTCAGCATTTCTATGCATTTTTAACCGTTGCCCATTAGACCGTTTTTCTTGTAGTTTACCTGCAGCTGCCAAGACAACAAGATTCTACGCTTCGACGTGATAACCCCAAGCGACAAAACTTTCAATGCGGTTTTTTTTCGCTCTCAAGGCATGCAAAGCACGTTTTCTCAGAGTCAGAAACCACAACATCAACAATAACAACAACCGTACATAAATAGCCTCTGTAGCTTGAAGCACAGTTAGAAGCAGCTAGCAATTGGTGTGACAGCGAAAGACAGAGACAAGTGCAATGGCTGTGGCATGCCGTTTGCTGTCCCTCTCTTCTGCCTCCCACACGATGACAACAACAGCTTTCATTTTGGGCTACTTCGCATGCTGCGTGCGTATTTTAACCATTGTCCGGCTAAGGCAGAAGAAGAAGCAGCAGCAGCTGTCGGTTAGCGATCGCTCGTGGAAATGAGGTTAAGAGCAAATAAAACAAAAATTTCGCCGTCCCTAAGTAGAACCGAAATAATAATGATAACAATAATAATAATAATTAGCTACAGTCGCTGACACTTTTACTCATTACGCTTTATTTTATTATACATTATTATTATTATTTTTTGTCTGTTTAGGAATTTAGATTTCACTAAGCAATTTTACTGTTTATAGCTATGCTTGAGGCAAACACGTCGCATCAATTAAGGGGCAAACAAGTACTGTTAGTTCTTGGCGCTGCATTAAATATGCCAATTAACACACATTTCTGAAAATACTGTGAATTTTCACAAATATGTATTTTAAACCCTATATGTATATATATATTTGCACACATAATGAGCACAATGACAGCATTGTGACCCAGAAACTGAATTATCTTCTTTGTTTTACAGTTTTTTTAATTCTTCACCGTTTTGCAAATATTCAAATCGTTTTTTAAGGTTGGGTTCATCTTCGTCGCACTCAAGAAGAACAAGAACAGCAGAGATGAGCAGCACGCATGAATGAGATTTTCACGCTCCGAAGGGCATATGTGTGTACGTGCGTGAGTGCGTGTGTGTGAGTGTATGAAAAGACCGGCTTCAAGCACAACCAACCAAAAAAGAAGAAGAATAAGCAGAAGAAAACACACAATCACGGGACTCCATAAAAATCAAAGTATGAATATGTTTAGCCTACTTTTCGAAAAACGAAACGAATAAAAAAAGCAAGAAACTTTGTGTTTTGCTTTGGGCCAACTGCTAGCGGCTCATTCAATCAGTCTGGGAATTTATTTTGAATCATCCTCATCACGGCTTCTAAGCGGGCACGTTTTAAGCCCAAACAAATGGGATTGGCAAAAGATATACGGCACGATATGGGTAAAGTGTGCATTAGGCAAAGTATTTATAATATTCAGAGTTAAATCTTATGATTATAAATTTCATGTGAATAAAATAATATTTAATTATATTAATATATATTATATTCAATAAATTATATAAATATTTTATAACATTTTTTTTGAGAGTATATATATAGATTATTTTTATCATTTTAAATATCTCAATTTTTATTTTTTTTTATCTATTAGTTTCAGTGCAATTCAAAATTTCTCTAATATCAATTTATCCATATTTGTTTTCCTTATCTTTCAGCTCGTGCAGTCACAGATATAGTACTCGAGCACTCTTTGAACAAAGGATCCAAAAACTCTTCTGCAGACCACATAACTTAGCCTTTTGAGAGCATTCCTTCCGCATTTGGCAATTATTGTAAAATCTATTCATGGAAAAGCCATAAATGTTCGCTTTGGACGTGACACGAGTTACAATAGCCAACAACAAAATACAGGCAGTTAGTAAAAGTTATTCAGGCAAGGCGAATTCATTAAAAATTCGTTAAGAGCGAGCCAGCAAAAAGAAAGTCAAAGAAAGGTGATAATTTTAGCAAGTGATTGGCTGGCTGCGGAAATAGGTCGTGTGTGGCTTGGCTATTCTACTCCAGCTGAAAATTCCTGCCAGAGTCTGGCCACAGCCTAGGCCAAGCCAGCAGCCAAGCCCAAAAACAAAATATTCACTCAATCTTTATTGGACCACCAAGGTGTTGGGCGACTCTCTGCAGTCAGTTGGGTTGGGCTGCACACACACACACACACACAGAAGCAAGTGTGTGCACCTAAATATATATGTGCACACGTCTGTCTAGATATATATATGCAGAGTTTTATGGCATACTGGTTTGCAGCGTCATAAGGAATACAGACACGACGACGACAGCGCCAACTGAACAGAGAACAATGCCAAGTTCAATGCAAAGAGTCAGCGACAGAGTCAGAGAGTCAGCCAGCAGCAGCGGCAGCTGGAGAGCTTCAGAGACGAAGCTTCCTTGTGGGCGCTTTATTGGCTGGTGTCGCTCTTTATACCCTGTACTCGGTTAGCCCAACAAATGGCATGGACAAAACTAATTAACAAGTTGAAGCATCTCAAGCAACACTCTCTGCAC